AGGGAGGCCCCCATGCTCTGATTGTCATCTGCACCTCCAGGTACACCGGGTCGCCCTTGCTGCAGGTGCTTGCTGCCTTGCAATCACCTGGCTGTCCATGCACCAGCACGTCCCAGTGAAGGGGGAGAGAAAACATAGAGTGGCCTGTTAATGAAGGGTTGCTTTGAATATAAAGTTAGCTTAAATAATTAATCTAGCTTCTCAATGGAAGCTCTGTTTAACACATTGTTTTAGGATGAATTGATTCTTCTTCCTTCTCTCTCCATCCCTAATACTGCTTTATTTGGGCATTTATTCTAGCAATTTTTATATTTGGCAATATAGCTTCATAAGATTGATAATATAGATAGAAACTAAAGCTGTCTACTATGAAGTACAGGTTATAGAATAAAAATGATCTTCTTATTTGAGGAAGATGCGTGCTAAGAATAGTGCTTAGCTCCAGAGCAACCTCCATGCACTGCATTCAAATATGACCTCTTTTCCTCAAATAGTAGTTTCTGCCTAGTCATTATTCTGATTAGGATGTTAGTATATTTAATTATAAAAGGCATTTTATGCATTTTGTGTGGTGGAAGGAGGAGTGTAAACCTGGTGAGTATAATTTGTCGGGTACCTGCATGGTAACATGGAGTGGCTTCGTCCTCACAGCTGGAAAAGAAAGAAAGAATCTGGTTCTTGTGGTTCAGGTTTCCGTATTTCAGCATTGACTCTCTCTTTCTGCAACACACAGCAATGTTTACATGGATATGAAGTGCATGTCTGATAAGCTATGGAAATTCAACCGCTATCGCTACATCATGACCTACCACGAGAAGCCGTGGCTGCCCCCACCTTTCATCCTGCTGTGCCACGCTGGTCTCCTCGTCCAATGCCTTTGCCATCGTCAGGCTCCAAATGACCAAGAGGAGGAGGATGTTGGATTAAGTGAGTGCTTGCTGGTGGGGTAGCAGGGGGAGGAAACTGTGGCAATCCAAAGCAAAGGCACCGGAGCCTTGTAGATAAAACAAATTCACGGCTCGGGATGCAAGGCGCTGGGAGCTAGCTGGCAACCGAACACCGGCGGGTGCTCTGTTTTGTGGGTCACCCTCGCATCAGCTCTGATACGTGGTGATTTTTTAAAATCGTTTAAAGGGGGCTCATACAACTCTTATTTATCACAATCCATCCATCCATCCATTGTGTAAAGCACATTTGTACATTCATTGCCCTCCTCATTCTCAAAACATTTGCTCTCCACTTAAGCCCCCGGCATCAGCTCCTCATTTTTTCCCTCCCTCCCCACTCCCCACTCCTTCATGAACCCTAAATAATTCATAAATTATT